CCCCCCCCTTTCTAGGCGTAAGATGATATTATTTGAACGTCCCCTTTAGATCTAGACTAGGGGTTTTCTGGATGAATCGATCCATGTTTAGATCTAGCCTCCTAGCCTAAGATTTAAAGTCTTTCACAAATCTTATACCAGATCTATCTACCTGGTGCTACGGTACCAAGCAAGCTAAATAATCAGACGACCGTGTTTACGATTGATTTGCTCTAGATCTAGGTCTATCTAGCTAGACTAGAAGATGATTCAGTCCAAACAAGACTACATGTATTGGGTCGGTTTGTTCGATAGATTGATTGTGCAAAGCGGCTATCGTGGCACAAGTCGATTGCGCCCGACTCGTTGTTTCAAAACAAACACGTTGTTTTCAGGCACGAGTCGGGCGATCATCCCGATCCGACCTGAACCGTTCCGGGTCACTGGGCGGCGGCGGGCACCCCGTAGTGCAAAGGAGCGAATTGTCCCCCTTGGCGCCGTTATTTTTAGTTGTGGAAGAAAATTTTTGTGTTTTAAATGAAATTTTACTATTATTTTCCCAAATTTTCCGGGAAATTGGCTAAAATTCGTGAATTCACGAAAATGGTAAAAGTTGCGCTGAGGGCAAAAGTTGCGCGCGCGAATTTCTCTGAGGACAGATTAGTGGTCAAAGACATTCTGTCCTGAGCAGGCTTCAACTTTCAGTCGCCACAGCCTTTTTTTCTGGATCACTGAGCACATGCTTTTGCTAGTAACCAAGACCAGTAGCTTAAACCCATAGCTCTGTACTCAAAGGTGTACAGATCCAGAGATTTTGAGGGGGGGGTAAAGTGACACATCAACAATGCCTGCTTGAACATAGAATCAAACTATGAACTTTTGTATGAGAAACATTACAAAGAACAGTAGAAAAAAAAGTATGGACACTCTAGTTTGGTCTGTTCCTTCAACTTCTTTTCACAGTAACTATTAGTCTGTTTCTGTCTAATGTGGCCAATGTCCTGCTGACTGTAGGTAAACTATATATATTTCAACTCAGAAGTCACCAAACTACTGTCTGGTCCACCACTATCTGTCCTCAGAGAAAGTTGCATTTGAAAATAGGAAAAGTTGCAAAAAGTTGTAAGACATGCATAGCTAAAAAAAAAATGTCACGGAACTATTGGAATACATTGCTGGTATGCAAATTGCAATCAAAGTAACCCATGTCATGTAGCCAAGATATATCAGTGTATAAAGTGAGAGATAGCATGTTTGTGCTTGCCACTCGAGGACCTACTGTATCGCCACAATGCAGTGCTTAGTATAGTTACTCTTTTTTGTTATCTTTAAAAATATTATGTTATCATAAATTATTTTCCTTGTTATTTTTTCACCTTACATTACAAAAGTGTAATCTTACATTGGTTCAAGACTCCCCCCCCCCTCCCCCCCCTTTTTTTTACACTTTTCTTTTACAAGAGTCAAAGCCCCCCCCTCTTCCAGGCGTAAGATTATATTTGAACATCCCTTTAGTGGTTTTCTGGATTAATCGATCAATGTCTAGATCTACCCTCCTACCCTAAGATTTAAAGTCTGTCACAAATTTTTATACTAGATCTATCTACCTTGTGCTACAGAACCAAGAAAGTTAAGTAATCAGAGACGATCGTGTTTACAATTGATTTACTCCAGACTTAGCTAGAAGAAAAGATGATTAAGCCCAAACAGGACTATTGGGGGGTCAGGTCAGTTTGTTCGCCAGATAAATAGCGCAAAGCGGCTATCGTGGCACAAGTTGATCGCGCCCAACTCATTGCCTCAAAAACAAACACGTTGTTTTCAGGCGACGAGTTGAGCGATCATTCTGACCCGACCTGACCGTCACGATTCCATCCGCAATGGGCTTTCGGCGGGCACTCTGTAGATCTAGTGCAAAGGAGCGAATTGTCCCCCCTGGCGGCGATACTTTTAGTTGTAGAAGAAAGATTCAGTGTTTTTAAACTAAATTTTACTATTATTTTTCCAACTGTTGCGGAAAATTGGCTTACTTTACTTTACTTTTATTTTTCCGATCCAACAGCCATTTCAGTTCTAGCCCTTCGGCATGTCGATATGGCAAAGAATTTACAGGTTTTTATCAGCTGTGTTTTGTCGCTGTATGCAGTATTATCCAATGTCTGGGGAGGCAGGTAGGTAGGTGCTACGCAGGTCGCAAAGTGCAGGGCAGGTAAAGAGGTGGTGTGATACTGTTTCATCCTGGCAGTCACACAACCAGCAGTCGGGTGGGGTATCCTTGCGGATCCTATTTAGGTAGGAATTCAGTGGGGTTGGCTGAAATTCGCGAATTCATGAAAATGGCAAAAATTGCGCTGAGGGCAAAAGTTGCGCGCCCAAGTTGTGGGTTGCAGGCGCCCAATTTCTCTGAGGACAGCACTATGCAGGATAAAAATTTTGAAGACTGTTTGTGGAGTGTTCAGGGCTTGGTTACCTATACTACTAAATCATTTAATTGAATTCTACAATGCAAATTTAACTTACTGTCACAGACATGATTACTTCGGTATAATGCGCATTTTTTGTATTTTGTGTATTGTACTATATGTTGTGAAGTAGTTATCTGGCCTGTGCTTGACATTCTCTCAATTATCCTGCCCCATTTGAACTAGATAAAAGCCATGGCAACAGGTCCCCTACCTGTACTGCCCACAGGTCTGATACAGTATTCATTGATGGTGAAGCCTTGATCCAGAGCCTCCTGACGCATGTTTTTGTTGAACACGTCTGATCCCGTGAAGTACAGCAAAGCACAGTAATATTGATCTTTTGGAAGCAACCTAGTGTTTGGGAAAAAGTTCAAAATTGGTTTTCTTTTTAGTTTGAGCAATGAGAAGGACATGGGCCATGCAAACCTCTAATCAACCCCAAATTTCTCATCTCCACCCCCCTTATTTAGGTTTTACAGCTGTCTAACGCTTATGACCACCTCTGGTTCGATCCAAAGAAGGGAATGGTTTTTTTTCTTCACTCGCATAGGACCTGCCCAAGACAAGCACCTGTAAGATTTTTATCATTGACGACAGAATGCTATCTTGGACAGGTTCAACTACACTTACATAACACAAAGGGTTTTTATTTAATTAAGTAAAATTATGGTACATCTCACAGACAAAAATGATGAGAGAAAACAAAAAGTAAAAGTAATTGACTGTATGAACAGTTAATACAGTAGTCTCCGCCTAAACACACCCCATACAAAAGCACGCTCCGCTCAAAACACACGCTTTCATCCTCTGACGGGTTTTTTACTATATAATTTAGATGTACAAACGCACGGTCACTTCCTCTAAACGCACGCTCCGATACGCGAAACACGCCTACAAGTTAAGCTTGGCAAGGAGAAATTTTCACGATCCGGTCGATTAAATGTTGGGGGGGGGGGGATTGAAATGTTTTTTGATTGGTCACTGGAAATGTATCTTTGAGAGAAGGTTTCTGACTGGTGTTTGAGTGACTGTGTGTAAGGTGTAGTTAGATCTAGGCCTGTTGCCCGACATGCGTGAATGCCGTAAAACACTAGACACGCCTCTATAGGATTTTAAAGATTTGCCAAGTAAGCCTAATCAGCTGTACTCGAAGAGCTTATAACGTACTTGTTCAACGAATCATAAGATAAAATGTTTCTCGGGGATGATTCTGCATGAATTTACCATTGGGGCTGGTCGCTTGGAAAGCCACGTGGCTGGGCCGTCGTCTCTGTGACTAGGACTATCACCAACAGTTTCCTCTTAGGCTATCCGTTCCCGACGTTAACAGTGCATATTCATTACCTTGAGTTTGTCTTCCCCCCCCATTCAACGCCTCTGTTTTCTTAACCCCTGTCGGGGAATCCTTCAGAAAACAGTCACGTGTCATCACATTATCTGCCAAAATGACCCCCTCCCTCCAAGGGAGGTCACTAGAGTAATAAGGAATTGAGATGACTGCGTCCCTTCCTACCCCTGCAAAGGTTCATGTAAACGCACGCTCCGTATAAACACACGCTAAGGAGCCCTCCTGAGCACCGTGCGTTTAGGCGGAGACTACTGTATAATTTAATCAATGTTAGAAATGGGCGAAACAGGAACAAGTAAGGAAATTACCATTACTACATCAATAAGAAGACATGAAAGTCTGCTATTTCATACTCTGGCCAAATATCACACAAATTCAAAGGTCACCAATCTTATCTACCTGATGTCTATCCTTCTGTATTTGTGTTGAGGACCATCTTTTTCCTCTGGAAGACGACAAACTCCCTGAAAGAATATTTAAAGAATAGTTAAGGCAACTGCTGCAAATTCAAGAGCCCTATCTTCTGTTTAAGACTAAAGTTCAAGGCAATTATGATGACTACGCCAACCCAGATATGTGACTTTCTTTAAAAAATAGACCAATTTGACTATGCAGAGTTTTGAAAGTTAGTGGTTGGATGTAGAGCTAGTGAATCTTTCAAAAGTGGTATCATACAACTTAGAGTCCCACACAGAGACCATTGCTGGTTTGTCTTTTGGCATAGCACATCTCCAGGGAATAGATGAAAGCCTTCCCTGATTCTCTATGGCAAACTTCACAAACTTTGAAGCCTCCCCCGAGGGATTTCCCCTTTAGACCAAGCTTGAATTAAGACCAACTTTTAAAATGGCAACATGTAACCATGGGTACATCAATACCAAAGTTCTGGTACTGGTTTACAATGTTCTGCAAACTTTGTGTATTTGTTGCGATGGGGATAAATGGTTTTATTTTTCAATGTCATGATATGGCTCACAGTGATGCGCGAAAGTTGCATAGTTTGAAATATAAACAAAAAGTGAAATCTATAAAGAGCTTTTTTCTCTGCATCTGCATCATCAATGAGCAAAAAGTTGAATGCAAACCATGCTGTCGACTCCACAAGTAAAGACATGACACCTCAGCTCCCTTTCACATATAAAATTTACAAATTTTATTTGAGCCAACACTGCTGGAAAATGCTTTTTATTCTCTCTAAAAGTTGGATCACTAGACAACACAAAACCCAGTGACAATTAAAACACTATTCTTCATCTCAACAATTATAACCTATTTTTAGTTCCTTGTATAATCAGAATATGTTTGAAATTTTTTAGAACCATCTGCCTAGTTCCATGGCAGTAATGATAAAGATAGCTTGAAAGTAAATAACATCTATTACCCTAACTGGCAATTGTCGATGAGATCGGTCATCAGACTGTTACTACCGATAAATTCAGCACTTTCTGAGTCTAAAAGAACCCCGAAAATGCCCACGCTGGACGAAAGTGCATTCATTTTAAAAAGAAGGACCTCCTGTAGTTGTAAGAACTCTTTTTGAGTCAGAAGAACGAAAAAGATTGATATTTTAGAATAGCCGGCAGCCCCGACGTTGCAAGTCAGTGAACATGGCTTCATCGGTTCCTTGGCAGTTTCCGGAAAAGGTCTTCGCGAACCCAAGAGACAAGAACTGAACGAAAGTGCACCAGTTTTAAAAAGAAGGACCTCCTGTAGTTATTAGAACTCTTTTTGAGCCAGAGGAGCACAAAAGATTGTCAGGTATTTAACTTGCAACCGCCGCCGGCAGCAAGTACAAGTTTACCACTGACTGACAGTAACACTGTAACAAGGTTTAGGGGGCTCGCGGGTCGGGTCTAGGGCCTCAGGGACTGATTTTCACTCGCTTTGAGCAGTTTTTACTTTTGGTATTTTCCGATCCCTCATTCAGTCTAAATTTTATTGACACTAGTTCCTGAGTGAGTAACAATAACAGAATTAAATTTTACTGGGTTCTACGTTGTGTACTAACATTTTTAAAGAGTGGCCTTGTTTTTCTTGAAACACATTTTTTCACCAGTTTTAGCTTGCATAAAAACCATCATTTTTTAAATTTTCCAACACAGTGACTTGAAATTTGGCATGCAGTTAGAAAAATAGTTTGTACATGCCATAAATATATTTTTAAAGATTAAATTCAATATCCCCAACTTTGAGAACAATTTTGGATACTTTCTAAGTATAGTATAAAAAATCAAAATAGCCAGCTGCAAGCACTTATTTATTTGTCACATTTTGCAAGTTACAGAATTTAAAAAAGTTGAAAACTATAGAAATGGTGGACAATAGTAGAACATGAATCTTTTGTCTCATACTTACTGCCTGTGACAAAAGTTGTTTCAGTTTGTCTTTAGTTAAAAATGTTGCCCCCTAAGTATCGATCCCCCTTAAGAAGAAGAGGTGAAAACCATTGTGTTATCAAACAGATGAGACCAATTACATCCCCTACAAAAACATACAGATGTAATATCTTATTGGCCATAGGCAATATACTTACCATGAACTTTGAGTTTCCTAGAGACAGAGTGTCTGTGATGAAACCAATTTTTTCCAACTGTTTCACTGCATTATGTAATAAGGCAGGCTGCAGAACCAGGCAAGACAGAAACATTTTGAGTTACCTCAGTCACACAGAAAAAATCACAAGTTAAAAGAAAGAGAATCATTCATTTGGAATAAGCAAAAGCTGCACTTTTGATCTCCTTTTAGTTTTAGTAAGATTTATATTTTTTAAAACTCTTTCATTACCGGGGTTTTTTCCTCACCTGGACCAGGCCCTATTTGTGACCTACTTTCTGACTCTGCCCACTGTCGAACAAATTAAAGATTTTTTAGTTTAATTTTCAATATTAGCCACATGTGCTATATATGAAAATAAAGGGGAAATGATTACCTATCTCAACATCATATTGCTAAAAATTATCAATCTTCAGCCTGAGATTTCAGATTCAATTATTACAAAAATGTTTGTGGTTTTGAAGCAGGAAGTGGAGAGCCGTGAAACACGGCTCGCGGTCCAGCGTTGGGGGTAACATTCATGGCTCGCTGTAGTGAAAGAATTAATGCAGTTGTGAGCGCCGTAAAAACCTTACTAAAACTAAAAGGAGATCAAAAGTGTAGCTTTTAAACTTCATGGTCAAATTTTCACAACAGTAAACCCTATTGAGAAATTTTACAGCATGGAATCTTATCCACCACAAAGTCCAAGTGTCAACATCATGACTCCATTAATCAGTTTCCAATTTCCGTAAACTCGATCCTTTGGGGATGTACATCGTTGCAGCATATTCAGTACAAACCATCATCATCCGTTAACCCCACAAATTGATAAGTACATAGCTGTAGCTGCAAATAGTACTTAAAACTCAAAGCGAAAGTACAAATCATGAGGCTTCAACACGAACACACATTTTTGCTTACAGGTTGAAAGCTTTTCAGGAGTACCTGTACCAGATTCAAACACTGCTTTTGTTACTATTACAAGTTCAAACTCCCTAGTCGAAGCAATTACATCATTCTTTTGTTTGTTTTAGAAAGAGGTTAACAGCACTTGTAACTCAATAAAGTCATGTAAGTGCCAAAGATTAAAGGTATTGCTAGAAAGTAACAAACACAAAAAAGAAGGAGGAGAGGAAAGGATGATAGAAAGAAAAGAAAGAGCAAACCACACCAGAACTCAGAACACCAGTCAACCACCCACTACATCATTCTGAAGGGGATGCAGTTGGCTCGATGCCATGATGTGAAGAGGAAGGAAGAAAGAAAAGAGAAGACAGAGACAATACACAAACGTAACTACCACACAAACACATCTGTCTGAGGACAGTTGCTCATGTGTGGTACTCCACCAACAGGTAAGTTGGATTTTACATATATATTAAACCCCCCCCCCTCCCCTCCCATTCCATAAGGGTGGGGGTGAGGAGTTTCCACTACACGACTTGCTGCTTTCTGCAATAATTACACTAACAAAGCATCATCCATAATATTCTCAATTTTTAAAAATTATAACATTTGTTTCCAGTTCCAATGATGATATCAAAATCATGAAAGCATAATCTGTCCTCAGAGAAATTTGCGCCCGCAATCCGCAACTTGCGCGCGTAACATTTGCTCTCGGCGCAACTTTCGCCATTTTCGTAAATTCGCGAATTCTAGCCAATTTTCTGCAAAAGTTGATAAAATAATAATAAAATTTCGTTAAAAATAAACAAAACTTTCGTCCACGACTAAAAATAACAATGCCAAGGGGCACAATTCGTATCTAAAATAGATCTACCACTTCTCTTGCACTACGGGTGCCCAGTGCCCATTGCGGATGGGATCGGGTTGGGTCAGGTCAGTTTGGGTCAGGTCAGGTTGGTTTGGGTCAGGTCAGGTCGGAATGATCGCCCGACTCGTCACCTGAAAACTATGTGTTTTTGTTTTTGAGACAGCGAGTCCTGCGCGATCGACTTGTGCCATGATAGCCGCTTTGCGTCATCAATCTGGCGAGCAAAACCGATCCGACCCGACCCCCCCAATAGTCCTGTTTGGACTGAATCATCTTCTAGTTAGACCTAGATCTAGAATAAACCAATCGTAGAAACGATCGTCTGATTACTTAGCTTGCTTGGTTCCGAAGCACCAGGTAGATAGATCTAGTATTTAAGTATATAAATTTGTGAAAGACTTTAATAAATCTTAGGCTAGGAGGGTATATCTCTAGACATGGATCAATTCATCCAGAAAACCCCTAAAGGGGGCGTTCAAATATAATCTTACGCCTGGAAAAGGGGAGGGGGGGGGGTGTCTTTGACTCCTGTAAAAGAAAAGTGTAAGAAAGGCGAGTGGGGTCTTGAACCAATGTAATATTACACTTTTGTAAGGTGAAAAAATAACAAGGAAAATAATTTATGACATCATTTTTTTGTGTAGATAACACATAAAGAAAGAGTAACTATACTATTCACTTAGCAGATCGGTAAGCACGGCATTGTGGCGATACAGTAGGTCCTCGAGCGGCAAGAATGAATATTATGCCATCTCACACTTAATACACTGGTAGATATCTAGGCTACATGACATGTAGATCTAGTCTAATTTTGATTAGATACACCGGTGCGGTTAAAGTGGTAAAATGACACCGTAAGTTTTTCCAGAAAGGAAGTGTCTAGGTACTCCCCAATTGGGGTCTACGTAGTCATGGTGTCTAGGTGGACCCCAAAAATGTTGGATTGTGATTGGCTCGCTGAGCGAGCGGTAGTTTACATTGGTTACAATATTGCAAGGCTGCTAGGCCTACTTACTGATCATATCGGGTAGCATCTATCTGGAGTAACTATAATTAATTTATTTTAGCCTAGAGAGAAAGAGTATTTAATGAATAAACGTATCTAGATCTAGATCCAGATTTTGTTGTGCACCCAGCCAAGAGTGTGCAGTTCGGTCTAGATTTAGATTCTAGATTTAGATTCTAGAGATCTAGATCTAGAGATAGATTATGTCGTTGTCTATCTAGAATCTAAAATCTATAGATCTCTAGATCTAGATCATCTAGATCCTAGATCTATATCTAGGCCTAGAATCTAGATCTGGAATCTAGATCTAGATATCTAGATTCCCTCCCACAATGGCCGTCATGTAAACAAGAAAAAGAAGCCATTTGAAACTAGTAGACTCCAGGCCTACAGAAGCAAGTAGGCCTACTGTAACTGTTGATAATTATGATAGTAGACCTGTGAATCAAGTTGCATGATAGGCCTAGTGTGTCTCCGCCAATTTACAGGCGAGTAGTCAAGAGTCGCTCTTCGGTCATTCGCCCACCAGGTCACCACTAGATTTAGATCATCTACTTTCTGAACTGCACACTCTTGGCTGGGTGCACAACAAAATCTAGATCTAGATTTTAGATCTAGATACGTTTATTCATTAAATACTCTCTCTCTGGGCTAAAATAAATTATAGTAACACTAGATCGACACACCACCCGAGATGATCAGTAGCCTTGCATTGTAACCAATGTAAACTACCGCTCGCTCAGCGA